GTGCCCCCTTACTGACCAAGGGAACAAATTTTCGTCCAAATTATTGTAGGTGTGCGACCTTTTGGGCACAAAAAAGGTTCGCACGTCGCCCTACCATCCCCAGACAGACAGGATGGTGGAGCAACTTAACAGAACTCTGACCTCCATGCTGAGTCAGCAGGTCGGTGAGTCACAGAGCGACTGGGACTTGCACGTTCCAGGGGTGCTTGCAGCTTATAGAATGGCCCCGCATGCTTCCACCGGCTACTCACCCTTCTTTTTAATGTACGGTAGGGAACCAAACCCCCCTATTGACGTCCAACTGAATACGGCAACTAGGAAGCCGAGGGTCGCCATTTCAGAACCCATGCGAATCACCCTTCAACGGGTCTCGGAGGCACACGAGGCTTATAAAGAAAATTCTGCCTTGCAGGAGTCAGCCAACGAACGGCTGAGGGGGCTTCGGGTGTCGGGAAAACAGTGGGCCCCCGAGGACAGGGCTTGGCTGCACTGCCCTCAAGTGGCAGTGGGTACATCCCCCAAGTTGTACCAGCCAGTAAAGTAATTGTATTTTTTATTTTGCTATACAGCCAGATAATACGATACATCGCTAACCCTAAACGTCCAGTCATTCATACAAGTTGAAGGTGGTACAGTACTATAGTAATAGAGCAAGTGCTCTCCTCCCCGAGCTGCTGCCACCTCTTGCGATTCGATGCAGGTTGCACCCCACAAAAATTGAACCTTATGGCAGGACCCCGGGGTCCCATAAGTCCCTGGCTCTCGAATAAACTGCGTTGCGACGTCATTTTATGTCTGTTGAAGGCGAACGACACGGCAATATATTCCTCTTGACGAGCTCTACACGATGTGCTCATCAAAGTTTCAAAGTTTTGTTGCTGACGTAGGTAGAAAAAATAATAGATCACGACGTTTCGATCTCTCATTAACACAGCAGTGTTAACACAGCAGTGTTAATGAGAGATTAGCACCATGAGAGTGCAATCCAAAGGACATGTGCACTTTCATGGTGCTAATCGCTCATTAGCACTGTTGTTGTGCGCATATGCGGGGATGATACTCTTATGCAGCGATGGAAGCTCATTCCATGCTAATCTCTCTCTACCTAATCTCTCCCTCCCAAATCTCCCCCATTAACACAATTGACGTGCTTGCATCCGGGGATGGAACTCCTTTCCAGCTCAGACCCCGCTTGCTTGCCCATCGCCACATACATAACCTTGTTGCAACAGCTCTCTCGCTGGTTCAGCAGTTCCAATGCTGGATTATTTTTTCCGCCTGAGGACGACCGCTTGTGTTGCGATCGAAACGTCGTGATCTATTATTATTTTTTCTACCTACGTGACTTTACCGAAAGAACCAAAGAGTATGGATTCCTGCAGTCACGAAAGCTTCAAATCAAGATCTTTTGTTTATGACTACGGCAATTTTGTCAACGACGGGTGCTTGGTGAAGAACGAGGATTGATTTCTGGTGGGTCACGGCGTTTATGTGCGCGGCGGGATGGAGTCGCCAAAAATAAATTAATTTATTATGATTTTGACTTCCTTTTATTCGGGACCCCGGGGTCCCACCATTAAGTTCAATTCAATGACCCCACCCCCCGCCCCGTATATCGAGGCTGTCACCCGGCCGTAAGAAAGGCATTCAATTCTGCCTCGCCGAAGATTCCTCTCGGTGACACAAACGATAATTTGGATAAGCGCGCAACCACCACCAATAACAACAAGAAACAGCCCCACGCCGCCGAGGGGACGCCGCTCTGACCGCAGATTCATGACTTGGGAGTGTGGCGGTGGCAATGCAGGTTACGACTATAGCCCCCCCCCTCCACCGCCTCCTTTCTCCCAACTCACGTTTACTGAAATAGCTACAGATGTTTTTTTTCCCATATACAATCATATGTATGCTATAACTATATAATGACTTTTTTTTATTCTAACATATACGCCCCCTCCATGTTGGTTGACTGGACCCCGATGCGTCACATCACGCTGCCAAATACCCAAACTTACATAGTTGCGGTCCTCGGTGGGGGGCATGGGGCGGGGGGAGGCGCAAGTGAGTTAATGCTCTCATCACAATACGGTTCCTTAATGAAACACTGCCGGTGACGGCCACTGGAAGCATTGTCTCCTTGTAAATGGCCATAATAAACTCGCCCTGTTACGGAAACAACCCCGCGGTGACGGATGTTGCCGTCGGCGCTCGCTAATAGCTTGCATTGTGACCCTGGCGCGGTGTGCCGCAACTATGCATCACCATTCCAAAGCCCCCGCGCCCACGCAACGCTATCCTCAAGCGTCGGCTCGGTCCAAAATAAACCGCACACATCAACGCGGCACGGCGGCATCACTGGGAAGACACATATTAAATCAGCATCGCTTTTGTTAACTGCGTGATCGCCCTCAATGGACTCCATTAACCAAAGGTGGCACGTGAAGCGTTGAATCCGCCTTCGCTTTATCGGCCGATGATGGTCGATGAATGCTGGCGGCGAGACCTCTCCGGGTGTTTACACCGCGCGCCACCATCAATACCATTCCACTTCGCGAGGTCTCGGGAGAATGTTCCGTTAATTCCTGGAAATCCCTGCGAGTTGTAAAAGATTGTGTTCGCCCCGTTTCGACGTAATTTGGCGAAATAATAAAAAAAACGGGGGGCATGCGCACTGCTGATCTATCGTCAGCTCACTGCGATGGAACTCAAGCACACACAGGGTCTTGCATTTAAGGCCAGCGGTGCGTTTTCCAGCGGTGCGTTTTCAAAGCTGTTAATCAAGAAAGTAGTTGCAGCAAACTGCAAGGATGTGTGACTGCTTCCGACTTGGCAGTCGCCGCAAATGCAATATTTTTCGCCCATGGTCCCAGACAATATAATTCACTTGCAGGTGTCACTTAAAACTTTTACGGCATTGTACCAACATCTTTATCATTGCCAGGTATTGACGATCCGCTGCTCGAAGGAGGCCTCCCCCACACTGCCGCCTTCTCCCACGGTCTTGCGCCAATGCCATGATCCGTCTCACTCGTCGCTCGAGCTGATGACCCACCTCTGCGCTGGTCACCCTCACAGGCGCGTTCTCTCCTCCGACGTCTTCCCTTTACGCCCCAGGTCCCATCAGTTGGGCACCATCTCGTCCAGTGATGTGTCCCCTGTGCCCTTTTCAGATTTGGTTCCGTACTCTTTGCCAGCATCCGTGTTTGTGATCCATGCCGTTGGTTAATGTGCACACACCGACCCGTTCCCTTTCACCATCAATTATATTCAGTTTTGTTCAAGATATTTAGAGGGCCAATGGATCGCGCTATTTATAAATGTGTTATTATGAATAATATGGGTCGTAAAAGCCTACGTGTTAAACAGAGGGCCAATGGAGTTGAGTATCACAATAACCATTTCAAATGAGTCGAGTTATTACCTTACTTTCCCGGGATCCCCAGAAAACAATCCCATTTTACGCTACTTTGAGGACATACTGTGAATCATTATTATTATGACGCTAGTTTACCCATGAAAGCCTCACCGGACGGCCCTGCCATGTTGTTGCGATGCACAATCCCAAATGAATGTCGGTGGCAGCGTGGCTCTGTGGTCAGGGTGCTGCTCCCTTAGAAAGCCGGTCGGCATTCCATTGACAATTCTAATTATTCCCGCTACAGCGGACAACTAATTACACAGCGCTGATGTCAGCCGAAATGGCAAAACATGAAAATTGCCCGTGCATAAATTGTGACGTTACCAGTGAATTGGTTGTGCTTATATCGGCTGCAAGCTACAGGCGATTCGTGGCAAAAAAAAGAAGCTAGGATGCTGTGAAAGACACATGCGCGAAAAGCTACAGAACGTTCGTCACGCGGCAAATGCCTCCCTGGACATGAAGACTAAACACTGTGAGGCCAGTGGAGGAGTCACCTAATTCAAAACAAAAACCACAGGAGGTCAATTCATTAATCGTGGCTTTCAAACTGTAAACAAAACCAATCACCCGGCGAGAACCACTTGGTGGAACGTCAAACGATAGTTGTCCGATAGAGACGAGCCCATGCCTGCCAGAGTAATGAGGAACTTCCACGACTGGAACGGTGCAGAACACAGGGACGTGCGCAGTCCATCGCTCATTCGACCTCAGGTGACGTGAGGAGCAATGTGGAACACTGCTGCGCTCCGATGCTTGCATTTTGTATTGCTATCAGGCCAGCGAGAGGTTGCGTCGGCGTAACGGTGCCCGGTCTTCACGCGTAGGAGTCGGCGTTTCAGCGCAAATTCAGCGGCTCGAAATCCACCGCAGAGGCCTGCTCCACGGTATGCCGGCTATGACAGAACGCATCATCGACACTCACTGGAGCACAATGGCAAATTGATTCTCACCAATACATTGAGACCACCCCTTCTGGAATATGGCAAAAGGGCCCGAACGTTCAGAGTTTTGACGCCAAAAGAACAACAGCGACAACTTTGGCATAAACAGCCACGTCCACATTAAATGCCATCACCGATCCAACAGTGGACCCCACCCCCGCTGGGATAAGACCACTGTCAAAAACAAGGGCACACCCCGATACGAATGACCCGCAGCATCCGTGGTGGATTCCGTCACCACTGATCCAAGCGGAGACTCGGCGGCACGTGACCTTAGCGATGTGGACCAGACCACGGGCCACGTAGTGAACCTTTGGAAGGGCCTGGCACACAACATTGATCAGATCAGTGCTTTATGAGCTATTTTGGTCATGGGCCAAATTTATGACCGTTTAAAAAAAAACGTTGGTCAGAAGCTTTGACAGGGACGTACGCCAACAACTGTTGCTTGAGACAGCTTGGGTGAAACGTTTTTTCTCACGGTTTCCTATCTCAGTGTCAAGGAGATGTTTGCAATGCAGCTGGGCTCTGATGTCTGCAGCACAGGTTAGCATGGTGCAAGGTGGCCTCTGCGTACAGGGGAGGTTAAAGTTCAGCGACTCGTGGTTTGATGTGCATTACAATTGCCAGACAAATTGAAATGTTCCAGAGAGTTTTACTTAACATTCGATTTGCATGCCACAATGCAAGGCAACAAAAAGTTACAGAGCAATTTTTTTTATGTACACACAGTATAACTTATTATTCATGACTACTGTTAGATATGCAGTAGTGGACGGCCATCCATGACTCTTTAACAATTCATTATCCGAGATTCCTTGAAGGCTAGCCTCCTGTGTATTTATCGCTAATGGTGAAATAATGACAGATCGCTTATGCATACTGATCTGTCGCACCTCCGATTAGCACGGTTGGCTATGTACAGTGCGAAAGAAGTTCAACATACACGTATGTGTGTATGCAAATCAACTGGTGACACCAAGAAAAATCAGCTACTCATTTATTCTCATTGTTCCATCAACGCAGCGTCGGTGTCCGTGTTCACGCGGGCGTCCGTGCAACACTCTCGGCCAACGATGCGGCGAGTGGGCGGACGCCCGAGGAGTAATCGACGTGAAGCTTGGCATCGTTGACGGCAGGGACCACGAGATGTCTCGTCGACCCATAGCAAATAGTGTCCGGAGATATGACCGTGCACTCCTCCGGCTCGGAGACTTCCTGCCGCTCCCTGTGGATGGCAACGGCAGCAAGTTCGCATCGCGCGCTTTCAGATGCGCCTCTGCGGCCGTCTGGAACGCTCTTCCTCCCGGTATTAGAAAGCCACCGGAGCTATGTACTTTTAAATTTAGGTACGAAAACGAATTTCTTTGGAACTGCTTTTTGTGTTTAGCACGGTTGTCTACGTACAATTCGAAAAAAGTTCAACATACATACGTACAACTTAGTGGTTAACAATCATAATCGTTGTTATCATCATCATACTATTGATCTTAATTAGGGGAAATAAAAAAAAATATGCGGCAATGTGCGGCGATTGTGGTCACCACCCAGAACAAAACCGTGGAATGTCAAACAAGTCACCGCCTGAATCACAATTACGAAGGAGGAGGCGTGATCACACCACTCTGCAACCTTTGACGCTAATTTTGTCCCATTGTCACTCAGCCTTACCTTCTCTGCCTATTTAAGGCGACTTCACTGTGTGCTTGTCTCTGTGCTGGTTCGCTCTACTTGGATGTCTGTGTGTGTGTGTGTGCGGTCTGTATTTTGAGTTTCATATTTTACTTGCAATTTAGCAATCTTTTGAAATAGCGTGATCAACCGGACTATGCGTTAATTGTGTTTTGACCGACCGTCTGTGTTGCTTTGCATGGTTTCCAAAAATTTTGCTAAACCTTGTTTGTCTGGTATGCTTCTCTCTCTGTGTCCCCTGTTGTATCTGTGTGAGTTCCCCCTACTTGGGTGTCTGTATATACATCTGAGGTTATGTGTCTCCCCTCTCTCATAATTTAGCTCTTCTGTACCTGATGATGGCTGCTTGTGTTGCAACCGAAACGTCGTACGCTATTATGTTATTTTATTATCTCTCATTTATACGTGACTTTACCGAAAAAAAACAAAGAGTACTTTGACGCAATCGTTTGGCTCAACCACCTGAGTGCAAATTTACAGGCAGACCTCGCTTAGCGCACATATCGTAGAACGCTAATTTGTGATGGCGCTCTTTGTCCTGGAGAAGAAAAAAAAACGTGAAATCAAACGATCTAAAATGTTTGTTGAACTTCCTTCGCACCGTACGTAGCCAAAGTGCTTTTGAGTGAGAACATACAGCAGCGACGGCTGACCCATCATTCACCCAGCCAATGAGTAATGCAAGCTGTGAGCCAACGAAACCTCACTCCGCAGTATTTCCATTATCACGATTCAAGGTAGCGATTACATTTTTTTAAATCCACATTTTTCGTTTTTGTCCCCAATATTATTACAATGCGTTTGTTTAGCCAGGTAAGAAATCACGAGACCAGGATAGAGTCTCACTCTGGCTCCACTTAAAAAAAACCTCACCACAGAAATTTAGACTGAGGGCATCACTACGACCCGGATTGGGAGCACAGCAGCTCATGCAACCTCGTCTCGAACCTCGTCTTACACCACTCAATTGTAGGAGTAAAGTAGAATACACTCGTGAGTACAGGTACATAATACTTATTGATATTATACGTTTTTATTTGTTAAATTATGTTAATATTATTAGTGTTATTACCGATACGCCAATGAAGCCCTCATATACGCATCCCCTTTATATAATTGTACAATGACCCCCTTCATATTACCAGGAATGCATCTTGAGCGCTAAGCGAGGTATGCCTGTACAGCTGTTGATCCACACCACTATCAGCCATAGAAAGAATGATCGTCATCATCATCATGAGCACCGTTGTATGCCGACAGCCCTTCCGTGGAGGTCGTCGTGGAGGTTATTTGAGGTTCATCAACGTAATCCTCTGCCAATTTTACCCACTCACCCCTGACATATAGCGGGGGGGGGGGGGGGGGGGGGGGGATGGGAATTCCTAAACTATGTTCCCACAACTATGCACCCTGCCTTCACCGACTTGCACTGATCAACGAGGCGATGTATGTATGTTGAACTTATTTTACATACGATGCAAAAGAAGTTCAACATACTTCACAGAGTTCGTCAGCGTGGGTCAGTGAGGGCAGGGTGCACGGATGTCGGAACATTGTTCAGGAATCCCCCCTCGCTATATGTCAGGGCTGCATTTGTGGGAAATGCTGTTGTGTGTGTTGCATCGAAAAGGCTATTACACACACGCGCGCACACACCGGCCTCCAGGAGTGTGGGTGAAAGTGATGGAGGATTACGTTGATGAACCTCAAAGGGCCTGACTCATCTCAAGCAGACACAGCTGCTTTTATAACAAGGCACCAACGGTTGGAATATCTTGGAATTAGCTTCAGGGCTGAAATCGTTGCATGGGCTCTACTTTGAAGGAGGTTATTTCAAATTAAATTTCCTTTGAGCGAACATTTTATTGTAATATATATACGGTGAAGTTTAATCTGTTCGCCATATTCAGATGCCACTTCAGAAGCAGTCAAGTAAATAAACTTAGCAAATTGGTTCGGCGCATGAATACCTTTCATCTGTGGAGCAGTAGCTTCTCAAGCTGAAAATAAGCATAACCACAGCCTGCAAAAGAAGAGAGTTTCACACCACACACACACATGCATTCACATAATACACACGGCGACATCAGCAGCAGCAGCAACCGTGAATCTATCCACTGCTGAATTAAGCCTGCCCCCACCCCGGCTCCCCTCCACCTCAAGTCGTTATCATCTCTCACGGTGGGGCAATTAATAATAATCGAGGGTTTTTTTGGGTTAGGATCACAGAAATATAAACGTGTCTTTAAACCAACCTGCCCATGCAATGCAGAGGTCGCTGCTTTAATCTCCTGGTGCGGCAATTGAATTTGGTACGTAAACAAAAATCCATTTCTGTCCACCCAGCAGGATAAATTAATGCCATCCCCTGATGAAGCTGATTGTAATTACCGACAAAACGTCGTACTCGAATTGTAAATGTTGTGGGTTTACTCTCCAACACACCACTGGTGTGCTGAAGTAGTAACTAATTGGCATGTTTTGTTTACGTGACAAACCTTACTAAGTGGCTGAGTTAGGTGGTCGCGGGTTTAACGACACATTTATATTTACGCGATCCATCATGGGTAATATTGGTCATTAAAGCCTCCGTGGCGATTCAGTTCACCGTCCTTCTGCATGCGGGGCCGATTCCATGGCTTCTTCCCCGCAGCAGACGTCCTGCATTTCTATACAGCATCTTTAGACGCAGCCGCAGTTATACTCTAGGTATTATTATTAGCATCGTATTATTGTGACAATCATTATCGAATTGTGTAAATACAACGTGTAACCTGTCTGGTATCATCGTGAGCGGGAGCCAAATCGTCCCGGCGACATTCCTCTTCACTACCCTACGCCGTGACGAGCTTCAGTCCGGAGGGCAACACGGGCCCGCCCCCCCTCTTCCCCGGGGGGTGTGAGCGGGGATGGGATGTGAACGGGGCCCCCCTCGGAGGGAGGTGTGAGTGGGGGGCTCACCGGGGGATTCTGAGTGGGTGGGGCCCTTGAGAAGGGAGGAGGGTGCGAGTAGGGTGGGAGGGTGTGAGCAGGGGCCCACTGAGGTGGTGTGAGCAGGGGGGCCCGGGGTGTGTGAGTGGGGGGCTCACCAGAAGGGGGGCTATGAGCGGGGGCCCCCCGGGGGGGTGTGAGCGGAGGGCTCACCAGGGGATTGTGAGTGGGTGGGGCCCTCGAGGACGGTGCGAACAGGGTAGGGAGGGGGGGGGGGTGTGAGCGGGGGGGCCCCCCTGGGTGGGTGGGGGGGAGGTTCGCACCACGACGAAGAGGATGCCGCCCTGCACAGAGGCGGCCCATTCAAAGGGCAGCACCCGCAGGATGAGCCCTCCGAACACGGGCCCCACGCACTCCCTGCAGCACGCACAAGGACAAAGATCCCCCGTGTAGCCTTCACAGACCGTGTGGGGTAAGTGCTGTTAGCGAGCAGCACCTGCGAAGGCCAGAACAACGCCCGGCAGCCTTTGTCTCCCCAGTGACAACGTTTACACATCGCACCAGGTACTCATTTGAGACGTAGTAGACCTAGGAGAGGCCCAGTACCGTTTAGATAATCGTCACCGGTGTTGGGCGTGAGCAGTCATTCCATTGTCAATGCACTAATGCCAGAATAGGTGCACTCGTACCCATATGAAGTCGTGATGGCAGAAAATCACGTGACAGACCCAGATATCTTCATTAACAGAGCAGGGTGATTCACTTCCTCCACCCCTCCACTGTGCCAACTCGCCGAGCTTCATAAACCACCAACCGCCTCTTCGACTGCTCAGAGCATTTGCTCCCGCTCAGCCACACACACACTCGCCGAGAACGTGTGACCGAAACAGATGAGCCGCGGTTGGCTACGTACGGTGCGAAAGAAGTTCCACAAACAGTTTCCGCCGATTCAGGGTTACAATTCCATTCCTCTCCCGAAAAAAAACATTCGGTCTTGAGACAACTATCACTCAGACACCACGTGCCAAACCCCCTCCACGACCGCCCCAATCCAAATTAACGACGGCACCACGTGGAAATAGCGCGAACGCCAAACGCGCCGTCACGTGGCCTTTAGAAGGCACCGTGAGCACGCGATATTGAGCTGTAAATCGCGGTACGACGCCGTTATTGTGCGAGGACCGTTCTTTACGACGGGGCGGGGGGGAGGGGGCAAGCAGGCAGGAGTGACATTACGTTACCCCAGGCACCACATGGAGGTGAAGACTCCTGACACCAGCCCGAGCGTCGCCGCATTGTCAGCAAACCCCACCTTGCTGCAGAGACAACGCGGGGGAACTCGCATCAGACGCGGAGACCGTCGCGTGCGTGATGAAAGAAAGGGACCGTGTCTTGTCATTTCGCGCCGAGGCCGCGTGTTTCAGGCCGTCCGGCGTGCGGACCCTTCACGCGACAGAATGGCCCGTGGAAGTGGATATCACAGAGCCACCTCCGAGATCGCATTCCAGTGACCTCTGATCTACCCACTGTGCCGCGAGGAGTAATGTTCGTCGCGTGACAGACAAACGAATACGCGTAATAATCAAGGAGCAGGAATTAAGCCAAATTAAGGGGGCAGAACCAAATTTAACGTGATGGGTTTGTTGTGAGAATCTCCCCTCTGCGTGACCACCCGCACACTCACCAAGATTTCATGAACATAATTGTTCTGCCAGTTCTGAGACCATCAACTGACGCGACCTGAGAACCCGGTTTAATCACAGGTGGCCGAAACAAAGACGAGAACCCACGATCTCAGCGTCTCAGATCCCCCAGCCACCTCTGCATTTTCCTTTTCAAAGTGGGCTCACGATGGCTCTTCAGGCACCGTGCCGTTTAACATCGCTGCAGTCACAGAACTACAGCACTGATACGTGTAGTTTCAACTTAATTTTTTAATCTACGAATCGTAAATATACGCTGTGTCCGCCCGGGACACAGCGCCACGTTAAGTATATTTTAAATGTGCCGTCATTTAAGACATGATGACGGTCTGCACATCTTGACATTTACACAGGTGCTGTTTAATTATGTTCAATGAATGGTCAATAGTTTCGGTTCCATGGCCACAATTGCACTCTGGCTTATTTTTAATGTGTCTCTATGAGTGCATGTCGATTCTATAGGTCTCTTCAGTATATCTATGAGTCTCCATGTATATCTGTGTGTCTCTATAGGTCTCTATGGATATATCTGGGTCTCTATGTATCCCTAAGAGTGTTTATGGGTCTCCATGTATCTCTATCGGTCTCTCTGCACCTCTGCGTATCTCTACAAGTCTCCGTGTCTCTATGGGTGTACCATATGGTCCATAGTTTCGGTTGCATGGCCACAATCGCACTGGTGTGACTTGTCTGTGTGTTGTACGGTGTGCAGTATCTAATGCGCACACTCCCATTAAATGGTTGAGTGAGGTCTGCCGGCGTGACGTTCGTTTCTATCCAGGATACACTGTGGATATCCATACATATATTTAACAAAATCATACTCTGACTTTTTAAGGCGGCATGAAGATCGTTAAGAATATCCGCACGTCCCAAGCGCGCTGGCCTCGTGCTGTGTTCGCTGCACGTACTTGGAAGCATTTTCCGCACACGTTAGATTATATCCATATGTACAATATTTAGGTCGCATCTGCAATGCGCCGAGATTTGAGGTTGTTTTTTTAAGTGCCAAGAGGCACTACTCATTATGTACTACAATGCTCTTCACACTGCGTGCATCCGATCTCGTCAGATGTCGGACGTGCTAAGCAGGGTTGAGCCTACACAGTGCGTGGATGGGCGCCCAAATCGCACAGGCCGGGTGCGATGGGGCCGCGGGCCTACGCTCGGGCAATCACACGGATGGCAGTGCATAACAATAAACTTAGCGTTGTACTGTTCTTCTACGTTTCCATGTCGATGCCCCCCCCCCCCCCCATCAGCTGACCACACCCCCCCCCCCCACCTGCCACCATCAAAAGCCTGCACTGATCAGGATGGAGAAATACGGTCAAATAATTATCACAGACCAATGTACCGGCATGAGGAGAGGCATTCATCCAGCAGTGGATTGAAAATAGGTGCTGTCTAAATGCGAATGTGTTTCGGAAAGCTGCGTTTTAATCGAACCTCCTCATTATATAGCATTGGCAGAAACACAAACAGAAAAAACTCATGACGCACACGTCAATATTGTTGCCCTCATTAGGCAACAATTTGGGCAACGGCTCCCCGTCTCCGTAGCAGAGAGACGCGTTCCATTGAGGTCGCTTCGCGTATCGGGCCACGATGACCCTCTGTAACTTCAACGAACACCGGGGGCGGACGCCGCGTGACGCAGCCGGCACCATTCGTTTGGCACGGAGGGGGAGCCGCTCACAAATGGAGGGGGGTGGGATGGGGGGGTACAGGGGAGGCCACGCGACCCGAGACGCTGTGGAAGGGGGAAGGGGGCTGCGCGGACGCGGCAAGAGTCGGAAGCGAGAGAGCGGAGCGCTTAACTGTGCCGATTCCAGGATGATGGAGTAAGCCGGGACCAGGGTGCTCCCCAGGCAGATGCCCATGATGACCAGAACCAGAACCAGCAGCCACACCTGGCTGCACGCCACACACACACGCACACGCCGCATGCACACACACACGCCGCACGCACACACACACACGCCGCACACACACACACACACGCCGCACACACACACACACGCGCGCACACACACGCGCGCACACGCCGCACACACGCACCAGTATGTATGTAAAACAGTGATATATGCGATAAGCAAATGTGTTGGAAAATGCTGCCTCTTCTTCAGAGAGAAAGAGAGAGAGACGGGAGAAAGGATGCCTGACTTGTAAGTGAACACTAAGTGGAGGACAAATGCACGTAAATGTACGTATGTTTTTTTAATGTGAGCATTTTTGTATTGTTCTGCATGTTCAACTTATTTCGCACCGTACGTAGCCAACCGTGCTTATCGGCGGTGCGGTACCTCCCCATGCAGTCTCACCCGCGGGAGCGATTTTGTGATTGCCAACGACGAAAGAGAGCGCGGCCGCCGCACGCGACACCGGTGGCGCAACCGGGAAAACATTTCAGAGGGACCGAATAGATTTACAACCCAGGGTACCGAGCAGAAAACCCGTTTTCCTAACAAGTTCAGATGAAACACCTGCAACCGCATGCCATTGCGTCGCTTTGAATGTGGAAGTACCACAAACAAAAAAATATTTAGGCGGCTGGTCATTTTGTCCTCTCTACCAGGGCGCACCTCTGCGTGAATCCAGGGCGAGTTGGAGGGGGTGGAGGGTGGTCGTAAAAAAAAGTTTAGGATTTACATTCATTGAGCGCGTAAAATACAACGGCGTTCTGAATTGTTATAACCAGGGCCTCATTTCAGCCGAGTCTGACCGTTCGACTACCAGGAAACATGAACAGGCCCCGGCACACCACATCCAGTAGGATACCTCTCGCCAAGGCTGCGGCTTCTATTTGTAACGTGCGACCTACTCCTGTCTACCTGCAACCTGTAAAATAATCGTTGAGAAAGTAAGCCCCGGTTAAAGCAGTGGTATATGTAAAAAGTGTTGGTCTTCTGCCCCATGGCAGGTTTGGGGGTATTGATTACACAGGAACTTCCTGATATGGTGTTGAGTTTGGTCACGAGACCAGGACGTTACGCTTTAAGATGCTCTAAGCCATGAGGCAGGGTATCAGCCATTACACAGAGTACAGCATGGAGGCACAAATAGCGTCTCAGTGAAGACAGGTGTATCTGTTCATTGTTGGGCTTTAAGAAGCATTGTCTGTAAGTTCGTTTATGTTCTTATAATACTGGGAATGCTGTTATAATGTTAGGATTGCCGTTATAATGCTGTAAATGGCTTTATAATGCTGTTAAATTGTTATGATAAATATGAGGCCTAGTTAACAACGAAGCCTGCCACTGCATTATTGTGAATGTTATTTGTAGTTGGATAAGTCGAGTCAGACTCGTACCCACGTAACTTTAATGCGATCTTGAGAGCAAGGATTAAGAAGTATCTCATCCACAGTTCAGTGTTATGTGCAGTGCTGTACATTTAAGCTGCAGTATGGTGATTACACAAAGTGACCTTATTTAATACAGTAGCTTATTCTCTTGTATAGCTATTCAGTGTTAACGTCGGTGCCTGGTCAATCCAGGACCTATTGTTGAGTTTCATGTTATCTAAGACAATGTTATGATGATGCAGTGTTCATTCATTGTATTGATATTCCAAGTATTAACAGATGCTGTATTTGTTGCTGTGTTTTTCCATCAGTTTTATCTCGTTCTATTAATAAAATACGTTTGGAGTCGGATGTTCACCCTGGCTCTCAATGTTTATTGAATGCGCGTTTAACTACTCGGATAGTGGTGCAACGCAGCGCACAGCAAGGCCGAGACAGTTGGGAAATGCTGCTTCTTCTTTAGAGAGAGAAATGGGAGAAAGGATGGCTGAATTGTAAGTGGACACTGTGAGTGAAGGAGAAATGCACATTAATGTATGTTTTTTTTATACATATAAGCATTATTTTGTATTGTTCTGCATGTACGTTGAACTTCTTTCGTCAGCGGAGGTAGCCAACCGTGCTAATTGGTTTTAGTGGTGCGTTCTTACGCAACTGACAAAAAACGGAACTTTTAAGAGTTTCAGATATTTCCACAGCCGCCTGCAAACGAGGGCAAGTTCCAGGAAACAAATCAGGACAGGAGTAAAGTACTCCAGCCTCACTGCCCTCGCAAGCTGCTCCTCTTATCTCCACCAGTGGGCCTCTGGCCTCTGACAGCACTGACCTCTCGATCCATCTCCATTACAACAGGGGCACTTTACCCTGGTGTCCTTCCCCCCACCCCCCACCGCCTATAAGTGCCAACCCCTGTCCGTCAGTCGCGCTGAATCGTGATCGCTTCATACACAGGGTCACCGTGACCTCCTTTCATTGACGGGAGCTAACCAGCCATGTCTTTAACACCTGCGCGTTGCTATCCGTTGCTTTCTTACACCTGGTTTCCTGCTATGGCATGTGAGCATCAATGAGCACTCCCAGCAGGTAGGAGTTGTATTGATGCTCATTGCCAGACCAGGAAACTGAGCAGAAGATAGCAACTGACAGCAACACACAGCTATTAAATACAGCGCTGGTTAACTCTATCAGTGATAAGATGTCACAGTGACCCTGTATATGAGGCAATACATGCTATTGTTAAACATCCACAGTTTACTATTACATCTACGAAACGTCCTGATGTGGCCAGGATAGTCTCGGTTTCAACAAGATAGTTTCTGGTCACCCAAAGCAATTGACATTTTTTAGATTTTTCACGCTCCACTCGTGATAAAGGCAAAGGGCGGAGCTATCTGTGCATTGGGCAGGACCTATGAGGAGTAGGTGGAGCCAGCATCTGGTTGGGCGGTGCTAGTGGAGGAGTGGGCGTGGCTTTGTAAAAATGGGCGTAGATGACAGAGAGGGAGGGGTCGCAAGCTCATTATGTGTTCACACAAACAGTTGGGAGCGTTAATTTACTCCACCGTTGGGTGATGGGCGACGCGTTTTTCACCCAAAAATCTGGGTCGACAGGAACGCTGGCGTTTAAACATACAAATATGGCCGCTTCCGTTTGCTCAATCCACCATCCAGAGAGTTAAGCGCCTCTCACCGATATGAAAAATAAAACCCCACCAACACCGCCTCCGCTTACAAACGAGCTGCGGAAAAAAACAAGAAAGCCGCGGTCGCTCACCCCGAGTGACCGCACATCGGGGACACCACGAGCAGCCCTGCCCGCGGGCGTCATTCGCGATGCCATTGCGGCTAAGGGCCGGGGTCACGGCTGGGATCAGGGTTAAGATTGCAGTCACAGTGAGCAAGAAAAGTCGTTAGAATGACTCCCAGCATGATGTAATTATCACAGAGGTGCGTGATTGTGGCCAGCAATTGGGAACACCACGATGACATTAGCAACGATGCTCCTGTATAAATTTGTGAAAAATAGTCCTGGAGTGGCTTTTGCGTGTGCTTTCTCTGGATAATCTCCAGTTTATTTCCACTTGTAACATGAGACATTTTCTGTGATATAAGAAATGTTCTGGGACATAAGACATTTTCTGTAACATGACAATTTCTGTAACGGAATATATATTTTCCAAACTTTCCTGAACAAAGAGTCTTCGGTGAGGCTTTCCTGGATAGACAAATAAATACCACTATCAAATTCAAGCTTATGACCGTGAGATGTGCATCCTGCAGTACAGTTCCAGCTAGACAGCTTTTCATAACAGCATGGAGTCAAATCAATTTGTTGCAGGATCATTTCATGTTGGATGGGCATATGACTGTAATCATGTTCGAATTTCACCCTTACATTTTTTCAAGTGTTTCAGTCATCTGTGCAAAATAAGCCGAAACAAGCTTGGGCTGACAAAGTGCAGAGATGTTTCAAACAGGTGTCTGTGTAGCTGTGTTATGGGTGACATGTGGAGGGTGAACTATTTTCATAACAGAATACGACACTTTCAAATGGGCCCTAACCTGGCCAAAGCCATTATAACTGGAACCGCGACGAATCAAAATTAAAATTTAATTTAATAAATTGACTAAGAATGACAAGGGCTACTAATTTTTGTGCCCGATTACTTGGGGTCCATATAAAAATGGTGGCCACCCCGATGAGCCCTCTCAATCACCTCCCAACCAGCGACACACTTGCAAACACCGTTGATGATACTTTTTCTTTCCCAACTATTGTCCGATTAGCACGGTTGGCGACGTATGGTGCAAAAGCAGCTCAACACACACATACAGGTTATCCGAACAGTCGAGTGACTAAATGGATAATCGGTCGAGTGATCAAAGACTTCAATATTGACGGCCAAGCTGTTGATTCCAACCACCAATATATTTTTTTCCCCATGGCCCAGTCAACGCAGGTAAATATTGCGCAGCATCTGTGACTGGATTGAAAGCCAATGACCACACACAGACACACACAGATCATGAAACCAGATGCGTGGGAGAGCCAGCAGGTGTTAAACCCAAGAGGGAAAGCTTGTCTTTCAATGTCTCTGAACTGCAGCCTTGAACTCTAAATCTCACAAGTGCTGCTTCGCTTTCCTGACAGACGCATTAATCCCAGAACACTCACAGCTGCTGCGTCATAGCTGCTGCCCGACAGGGACACTCAGTTTGATTCATGTAGTCTTACGTTAATGTAACAATATTTCATTCATATTATTCCGCACCTCCGATTAACACGGTTGTTTACGTACGGTGCGAAATAAGTTCAACGTACATATGTACATAAATATGTGCCGGTGTGGGAGATTGATAATTATCATTATTTACAGCCTTTTATCAATCCACTGCTGGATGGAAGCCTCCCCACACTGTCAAGAATGGAGGTTGTTTGATGAAGGGGTTACCCAGGACCGGTTCAGGTATCACTTGCCATTGACGTCAGCTGTGGCCGGGAATTTAACTCAGGTATGCCAGGTTCCAGGGACATGCGGTCAGGAGAGGCAGAGCCTCACCTGTCATACTCCAATGAAAATAGCTGTTACGAAAGGTAAATAATAAAATT